TCCTATAAAACAGTTCCAAGATATAGAGAAAAGGAATTAATATTCTAAAAAAAGTTACAGATAGTTAACAGATTGTTTTTCTTTAAATAGATTGTACAAAGTGGCAAATACCTACTCAAAATTTTAACCTATAAAATACTGTTCTAAGAAGAGCTAGATATGCAAATGACAGGAGTTTGACATTTGCATAAAAAGTCAAGCCTCTGCTTATTAGTTTACCCTTATTCAAGATGTAGATTAACACTTATTAAGAAGCTATATGAGCAAAAGGCAAAATATTTGTTTTTTTTCCTTTGATTTGATAAATGAATGCAAAGACCCATATTTTCTGATATCACTACTGTAAAGGAGTTTTCAAAAATATTCTAATAATGAGGGGAGGGTGCTGTGGTATTACAGCTAAGCCACTGCTTGGGATACTTGCATCCCGCATCTGAGTGCTTGGTTTGAGTCTTTACTACTCCACTTCTGATCCAGCTTCCTGCTGAGAAGCACTCTAGGAGGCAGTAAATGAGGGCTCAGGAACTTGGTTCCCAGCCACACACATGAGAGACTAGAACAGAATTTCTTTTTTTTTTTTTTTTTGACAGGCAGAGTGGACAGTGAGAGAGAGAGACAGAGAGAAAGGTCTTCCTTTGCCGTTGGTTCACCCTCCAAGGGCCGCCGCGGCCAGCGCGCTGCGGCCGGCGCACCGCGCTGATCTGATGGCAGGAGCCAGGAGCCAGGTGCTTTTCCTGGTCTCCCATGGGGTGCAGGGCCCAAGCACCTGGGCCATCCTCCACTGCACTCCCTGGCCACAGCAGAGAGCTGGCCTGGAAGAAGGGCAACCGGGACAGAATCCGGTGCCCCAACCGGGACTAGAACCCGGTATGCCGGTGCCGCTAGGCGGAGGATTAGCCTAGTGAGCCACGGCGCCGGCCAAGAACAGAATTTCAAGGTCCTTGCTTCAGCCTGGTCCAGCCCCAGCTGTTGCAGACATTTGGAAAGTGAACCAGTACATGAAGATATCTCTCTGTCACTGTACTTTACAAATAAAAATAAACAAAAAGTTTTTAAAAATGTTAAGTTCATAGAAAAATGAAATGAAAGGATGAGGGAAAATTATTCTGATATGTTTTATGAACTATACCTAAAGACTTTAGTATGCAGAAGAATTAATGTCCAATTTAATCTTTCCATTTTCACCTCATGATTAGAAAAAACTTAGCATGATTCAGTACCATTCTTTGCAGAAGATGATTTAATATAAGCATGTCTACCTAATATTACTTGTCTCAAACATCATCAAACACTCACATGCCTCTCTCAAATGCTGTTTATGGTAAAATGTGACATGATCATAACAACAGAAAAAGATTTTGAGGCCAAAGTAATTAATGGCAGGGAAAACCAGGCCACTTGGCTGCAAAGGGTGCTGGCTGAGCAGCCAGATTTCGAATGTGGAATTCCTGAATGGGCTCAGCAGGGGCACAAAATCTCTTAGAGTGATTTGTGCTACAGATGGAGCTGAGGGCCCTAACTGGTAAGGTAAAGAACCAGATGATACCTGCCAAACGCCAGTTGTTAGCTCTTTTCTCTTCGTCAAGAGATTCCATCATGGTGGCTCGCTGTTAACATAGCCATCATTTCCTTTTTCTTGTCACTTTTTAAAAATTTTATTTGAAAGGTAGAGAGAGATGTACACACACACATACACAGACACACAGATAGACAGAGACAACGGATGACTCTCTCAATATCTGCAGTCACTGGGGCTGTGCCAGGACAAAGCCAGGAGCTTTGGGTCTCCCGCCTAGGCAGCAACAGTCCAAGCACTTGAGTCATCACCTGCTTCCTGCCAGGATGCACTTTAGCAGGAAGCTGGAAGGGAGAGCAGAGCCCAGACTTGAACTCAGGCACTCTGATAAGGAATACAAGTAGGCCAAGGGGCAGCTTAACTACTGTGCCAAATGCCTGCTCCAGTTCACTTCATTTGAAACACCCTCAAAATCCTCTCAGCCTGCTCTCCTACTATTATCATCCATCTTCTCACCTTCAATGCCAAGACCTTAGGAGGGATGCTACTTGCTTACATTGTACCTATCACTTCTGTCTCTCTGTCCACTGCACTCTGGCTTTTGCTCATATTGTACTCTGCTAAGGTCACACGTGACCACTTTGTACCGAATTATTTCACTTCATTTAGCCATTGTCTCCCTCTAGTTCAACTCAGGACTGCCTTTCTAGTTTTCTTTCCATCTCTCTGCTCACTCTACTTCTTAGTTTCTTTCCAGTTTCTGAAATATTGGTGGACAATAGAGTTTCATCACTAATGCAAACTAAGTATGGTAATCCTGTTAGTGCAGTATGCTTTAAAACCAGTAGACTCTTTTAATGTCAAGGTAAGAATGTTCAAAATGACCCTCCTTTACTACAGACAAAATGGAGAATACTGTCTTCCTTACATCTCAATGCTTCCTATCTCCATGTTGATACTTAGCCTGTATCCAAGCGTCAGACAAAATTTAGCAATATAATCGTGTGTATTTTATTAGGGCTACTTGTAGACATGTATGTATCCTATACTAACCCATGAATACCATCTCCATAGAAAATGTCTTATCCAACTTTTTCATTCATGCTCAGCTTTGCTGAATGAATAAATACTCTAATCTTATTCATTGAGTACTAACCTGCCTGCCTACGAGACAAAAAGCACTCAGAGATAAACAGGGCACAGAAAAGGCCAATTCACAGGTGCAAAGCACAGGAATGGGAGAGAAACAGGGATTAACTGTAAATGGGCATGGAGACAGGTCTTAGTGGTATCAGAGAAATGTTCTAAAACTATATTAATGGGTTATGGGTGCATAAATCAGTAAATCTACCAAAAATACTCTAATTGCATACTTTAAATGTGTAAGTTTTACAGTGTGTAAACTATACTTCAATAGTTATTTTTTCATTTTATTTCCATATTTTATTAATATAAAGAGAAAAGATTTCATAGGTACAGTTCCAAGAAGACAACCATACTTCCTTTACTCCTCCCCATCCCAACCCCTCCCTCCCTCTCTTCCTTTCATCAGTTTTGCATTATTTTAATCCATCTATATACACAGGCTTAATTCACCAATAGTTTTTTTTTGGGGGGGGGGGAGGGGAGAACAGGCAGAGTTAGACAGTGAGAGAAAGAGAGACGGAGAGAAAGGTCTTCCTTCCGTTGGTTCACCACCCCCAAATGGCCACCACGGCTGGCATGCTGCGGCCAGTGCACTGCGCCAATCCAAAGCCAGGAGCCAGGTGCTTCCTCCTGGTCTCCCATGGGGGTGCAGGGCCCAAGGGCCTGGGCCATCCTCCACTGCCTTCCTGTGCCACAGCAGAGAGCTGGACTGGAAGAGGGGCAACCGGGACAGAATCCAGCACCCCAAATGGGACTAGAACCCAGGGTGCTGGCGCCACAGGCAGAGGATTAGCCAAGTGAGCTGAAGCGCCGGCCAATAGTTATTTTTAATAAATGAACAGAACGGGCCAGCGCTGTGGTGCAGTGGTGCAGTGGGTTAACACCCTGGCCCATATGGGTGCCGGTTCGAGACCCGGTTGTACCGCTTCCTGTCCAGCTCTCTGCTATAGTCCAGGAAAACAGTAGAAGATGGCCCAAGTCTTTGGGCCCCTGCACCCACGTGGGAGACCTGGAAGAAGCGCCTGGCTCCTTGCTTCAGATCAGCACAGCTCCAGCCATTGCGGCCATCTGGGGAGTGAACCATCGGATGGAAGACCTCTCTCTTTCTCTATCTCTGACTCTCCTTTCTCTGTGTAACTCCGACTTTCATATAAATAAATAAATCTTTAAAAAATAAATAAGTAAATGAACAGAACATACCCTGAAGTTTACAGCTTAACAGAAAACACATGTATATAAACTCAAATAGTTCTAACAAGTCATTCATAATACACTATTCTTATACCCTATCAGTAATCGAATTGTGTGGTCTAATAAAGATTACTTTTTTAGGCTCATTGATTATCTAGGCTTATAAGCTGTCATTATTTCACTATGCTTTCGTAGGTGACAGGAAGCTATATAATGCATCTGATTAATATTACCAATGGTTAGATATAAACCTGCTCCTGGGGCCGGCGCTGTGGCTTAGCAGGTTAACGCCCTGGCCTGAAGCACCGGCATCCGCTGGTTCTAGTACCGGCTGCTCCTCTTCCGATCCAGCTCTCTGCTATGGCCTGGGAGAGTAGTAGAAGATGGCCCAAATCCTTGGGCCCCTGCACCCATGTGGAAGACCTGGAAGAAGCTCCTGGCTCCTGGCTCCTGGCTTCAGATTGGCGCAGCTCTGGCCGTTGCGGCCATCTGGGGAGTGAACCATCGGACGAAGATCTCTCTCTCTCCTCTCTCTGTGTAACTCTGACTTTCAAATAAATAAATAAATCTTTAAAAAAAAATAAACCTGCTCCTGAAATATTCAGATATTTGGGCATCACTGTTATAATCCTCCTCCTACTCAGCATTCAACCTTGACAGAAAGACTAAACCTTAAAGAGACTAGTTCCTTAAATAACTCTGTTAAAAATATTCCTTCAACAATCATAAAAACTACAGATAAATGACCATCAATACACAGTCACTAAACTAATTCAAATTTTCTGGAAACCTATAAAGTGTTACCTGTCCACACGCTTAGGTATACTATGAACACTGCCAGTTAAAAGAACATTTACAGCAACACCATTTATAAATGCCAGAAAAAGATAAATAATTTAAGTGCCCTCAATTCAAACAGCTAAAGCAATGTTGGCATATCAACATAAAGAAAATACCATATGCCAAGCAAAAAGGACTAGCACTTGGGGATATATAGATGAAATCATGCTAAGTGGGAAGAAGGGAAAAGTGAAAATATTACTACTGATTACAACCATTTGGATCCACAATAAACACTTTTCATAAGGAAATATCTGCGAGCCTCAGTTATGATTAAATAATGTGATTAAGCTGGGAAATTAATTACCTGACTCAAAGCTGGGATGGAACTTGTTTGAGAAGTGGTTTGAGATATAGGACCATTCATCTGTAATATTGAAAACATCAAAAACACCATCATTACAAAATAAGACATTTGGATTTTCAAGCCACAATAATAAAGCAAAGCCAAACCTACTGAGAAATGCACAGTTTTATATGACAAAAAAAGATCTAAGAGCCTTAACATTTTAAAATGTGAACTTACTATTCCTTAGGTCATATTCTTCATAGTTTTAATGGAAAAAATTAAGAAAAGCTACTTTTGCAAAAGTAATTTAGAACTTTTAGGGCTGGCACTGTGGCACAGCGGGTTAACGCACTGGCCTGTATTGCCAGTGTCCCACGTGGACGCTGGTTTGAGACCCAGCTGCTCTTCTTCCAATCCCGCTCTCTGCTGTGGTCTGGGAAAGCAGTAGAAGATGGCCCAAGTGCTTGGGCCCCTGCACCCGTGTTGGAGACCCAGAAGCTCCTGGCTTCAGATGGGCGCAGCTCCGGCCGTTGCGGCCGTGTGGGGAGTGAACCAGCAGATAGAAGACCTCTCTCTTTCTCTCTGTCTCTCTCTGTCTCTCCTCTGTGTAACTCTTTCAAATAAATAAATAAAAATCTTTAAAAAATTTTTTTAAAAACTTTAAATATTCCTGCTCAGTATAACAAAATGTTCAAAATGAACCAAGGTAGTCAAAATATAAATTTGTAATAAAATACTACTCAACTCTTAAAATACCCTAGTAGGATGGCTGAACTGTGATTAAAAGTACTTACTTTATTTTCTTGACTTAAAACACAAAGATTTAAATATGTAAGAGCTTTAATAACCTTTTTTTTTAAAAGACAGATTTACAGAGAGAGGTCAAGACAGAGAGAGAGGTCTTCCATCTGCTGGTTCACTCCCCACACGGCCGCAAGGCTGGAGCCACAGAAATCCGAAACCAGGAGCCAGGAGCTTCCTCCGGGTCTCCCACATGGGTGCAGGGGCCCAAGGACTTGGGTCATCCTCTATTGCCTTCCCAGGTCATAGCAGAGAGCTGGATCGGAAGAGCAGCAGCTGGGACTAGAACTGGCGCCCATATGGGATGCCGGTGCTTCAGGCCAGGACTTTAACTCGCTGTGCCACAGCGCTGGCCCCATAAGAGTTACAATAACCTTTTTATCACCTAGTACTTGTAGTTTTCTCTACTAAGCAAAATTCTTTCAGACTGACATGAGTTCAGTATATATGGCACCTTGGCATTTGAGGAAACAGCAGAAGCAGGCCATAGGAAATAGAAAGTACATTCACCCCTCCCCTTAAGGGGAAAAAGCTAGCTGACCTTACCTGGAAAATGGGTCAAAAGACCCTCATTCCAGAGAAATCCTACTCTATACTGGGAGAAAAAGAATTCCACACAGGGACACAAAGAAAACTCTGAACAAACAGGCTTTGCTGAATTCTCCTCAATTCATTACCATCAGCTCACAGCCCCCTTTGTCAAATCACATGTCAAGAACTTCCCACTTCTGTACCATACTTAACATACAGTTTCCCTGGTGGATCCTCATGTCTGCAGACTCCTGTGTCATGTAAGATTTATTACTTAACAACAGCATGCTTTCCTCTTAATAATCTTCTACTATACATCAGATGGGTGAGAAAGTTTTCTTCCCTAACATTTACATGTGGATTCTAAGATACTCCAGTGCTACTTTCTGATTTTCTTATTAAGTTCAATGTAGAGTTCTTTATCAGAAAGAGAAGAGGAACGGACTCCCTGGCCCTCCCTTCCAATGGCACCCACCAGATGAGAGCTGTCCTTGCCCTCTTGGACTCGCTGCGCCTGCGGTTCAGCCACAACTTTAGCGTCCTGATCAGAAGTCATGGGCTCCACTGGGAGAAGTTTAATGTAAACTTCAGGATGCTGTAAATGCAAAAACAATAAATAGGTCATTTGAAGGGTGTAATGTGGTTTATTCTTAAAATTACTAAGGAGGGGCCAGCACTGTGGCGTAGTAGGTAAAGCCAGCACCTATAGTGCTGGCATCCCATATGGGCACTGGTTTGAATCCTAGCTGCTCCACTTCCAATCCAGTTTTCTGCTATGGCCTGGGAAAGCACTGGAAGATGGCCCAAGTCCTTGGGCCCCTGTGCCCGCATGGGAGACCCAGAAGAAGTTCGTGGCTCCTGGCTTTGGATTGGCCCAGCTCCAGCTGTTGCAGCCATCTGAGGAGTGCTGTCTCTGTCTCTCTCAAACAAATAAGTAAGCACCCACTAGTTTGTTTATTTGTTTGAAAGTCAGAGAGAGAGAGAGACAGACAGATAGACAGACAGAATATCTTTCATCTGCTTATTTACTCCCCAAATGGCCACAATGGCCACTTTGTTTCTTATTTATTTGAAAATCAGAGTTATAAAGACAGAGATGTAGAGAAAGAGATCTCGACAGATCTTCCATCCACTGGATCACTTCCCAAATGGTCCCAATGGCCAAGGATGAGCCAGATGGAAGCCATGAGCCAGCAGCTTCACTGGGGTCTCAACATGGGTGACAGAGGCCTGAGCACTTGGGCCATCTTCTGCTGCTTTCCCAAGCCATTAACAAGGACCTGGATTGGAAGTGGAGCAGCCAGGATACAAACTGGCACCCATATGGGAGGGATGTTGGTGTCACAGGCAACAGGTTTACCTACTATGCCATAATGCTAGTCCCCAGCTACTCTGTTTCTGATCCAGTGTCCTGATGTATCCTGGGATATATCAGATGATACCCAACTACTAGGGTCCCTGACACTCACGTGGACAATCAAGATAGAGTTCCCAACTCCTGGCTTTGGGCTGGTCCAGCCTTGGCTATTGTGGATATTTGGAAAGTAAATAAAATGAAAATAAACAAATTAAAAATTAAAATTTGTTTTTTTAACATCAAGAGGGTAAAAAATGTTGATTAAGTATGGAAAGAAAAAGCAATCCCTATATACTCTTGGTAGGAATATAAATTGGTGTAGTTGTTATGGACAAGAGTATGGAAATTCCTCAAAACTTTAAAAAAATTGAACTATATGACCCAGCCACTCCTTTTCTAGGTATATATCAAAAGGAAATGAAATGACCACCTCATGAAGATATTTGCACATCCCATATTCACTGCAACATTATTCACAATAGCAAAAATAGCAAAACGACCCAAGTGTCCACTGATAGATGAACAGATAAAGAAATCATGGTGTACACACAAAGGAATACTATTCAACCTTAAAAAAGGAAATCTTATATGCTACAATGCAGAAGAACCTGAAAGATAGCATGCTATGTGAAATAAACTAGGTACACAAAAAAAAAGACAAATACTGTATGACCTCACTTATATGTGGACTAGTTTTTTAAAAGTTGAACACATAGAACAGAGTAAAATAGTTATCAAAGGATGCAGGGAGGAGGTAGGGTTACATAGGTCAAAGGGTATAAAAGTGTAATGTGTAGAATGACTAAGTCTAGAGAGCTAACACAACACATACTGTATACTGGAAATTTGTGAAGAGCATAGATTTTAGGTACTCTTATCACCACCACTCCACCACAGTAACAATGTGAGAAAATGCATACGCTGTCATATACAGGAGTACACATAAAAAATAAAAACAGAAAAATCACAAAATCAATAGAATGCAGAAAGGCATATAGTTTTTTTTTTCTTTTTTAAGATTTATTTATTTATTTGAAAGTCAGAGTTACACAGAAAAAGAAGGAGAGGCAGAGGGGAGAGAGAGAGAGAGAGAGGTCTTTCAACTATTGGTTCACTCCCCAATTGGCCACAATGGCCAGAGCTGCATCAATCCGAAGCCAGGAGCTTCTTCCCGGTCTCTCACATGGGTGCAGGGGCCCAAGGACTTGGGCCATCTTCTACTGCTTTCCCAGACCACAGCAGAGAGCTGGATTGGAAGAGGAGCAACTGGGACTAGAATCAGCGCCCATATGGGATGCCAGCACTGTAGGCTGGAGCTTTAACCAGATGCACCACAGTGCTGGACCCAGCATATAGTTTTTAAATAGTTTTTGACTAGCTCTATTAATTTTGTTTTGTTCAAGGACAAGCCCTCAAGACAAATGAACAATTAAACAGGAATCACTTGGAGCTGGTGTTGTGGCAGAGGGTCAAGCTGCTACCTGTGAAGTGGGCAACCCATATAGGTGCTGGATCCAGTCTTGGCTGCTCCATTTCTGATCCAGCTCTCTGCTAATTCACCTAGGAAGGCAGAAGATGGCCCAAGTGCTTGATCCCTGCACCCATGTGTGAAACCTGGATGAAACGCCTGGCCCCAATCTGGCCCAGCCCTAGCTGTTGCAGCCATTTAGGGAGTGAACCAGTGTATGGAAGATTCTTTCCCTTTCTCTTTCTCCCTTTCTCTTTCTTTCTTCTCTCTCTCTCTCTCTCTCTCTAATTCTGCCTTTCAAATAAATGAAATAAATCTTAAAACAACCTGAGTATAGTTATACTACTCTGAAGTGGCCTTTGTGATGTACTGACTTATTTCAATGGCCAGACTCCAAACTTCACATATAATATTTAATTTTCCCAAATGATTTAAAAAGTAACCATAAGAGAAGCGCCTTGCCTAGTGGTTAAGACACTAGTTAAGACACGTATGTCCTTCATCGAGAGCTTGAAATCAATGCCTGGCCATGGCGTCTGACTCCAGTGTCCTGTGCTCGCTTTGGCAGCATATATACTGACTCCAGCTTCCTGCTACCGTGGGTCCTGAGAAGGCAATGGTGATGGTGCAAGTAATGGGGTTTCTGCTACATAAGAAACCTGGTTACAAAAGTATAACATTATGACTGAACTTCAGAATACACAGATTCAGGAGTTTAGTTTGTATATTCCAGGTCACAGCTTGTAACCCTCAGATGCACTGGAGAATCACTGGAGGAAACTGTGATCTTGCAGTTTTGTAGTTTAGACATTTGTATTTTTAAAACCCTATGCTGGGGCTGATGCTGTGGCATGGCAGGTAAAGCCCTGCCTGCTGTGCTGGCATCCCATATCGGTGCCAGTTTGAGTCCCCGCTGTTCCACTTCCAATCCAGCTCTCTGCCATGGCCTGGGAAAGCAGTGGAAGATGGCACAAGTCCTTGGGCCCTGCACCTGCATGGGAGACCTGGAAGAAACCCCTGGCTCCTGGCTTTGGATCAGCTTAGCTCTGGCCACTGCAGCCATTTGGAGAGTGAACCAGTAGATGGAAGACTCACTCACTCACTCTCACTCTCTCTCTCTGTCTCTGCCTCTCTGTAATTCTTTCAAGTAAAATAAAATCTTAAAAAAAAAAAAACTTGGGGGGGGGGAACCTATGCTGATGTCTCTGAAATACCTGAGCAAAAAACTGTTTCCAAGACCCACACCATCCCCACCAAGGAAGATGAACTAAGAGGACAGGAGAGCAGCTGAGGCACCCAAGCTTACTTCCCACATGAGAACGGATGAATTTAGTTTTGGAAATATCTGTGTGTCATTAAAAATTCTCACAAAACAAGGCCAGAAAATAAAGAGGCAGATTAGTACCCAACTGATTAATAACAGAATATGGTACCAATGCTTTCACCAATATTAACTTCTCTCAGAAAATACTTGCTATTAATAGCCCTCTGGGGAGGACTGACGCAGTGGCATAGTAGGTTAAGCACCCGCCTGTGGCACGAGCATCCCATACGGGCACTGCTTCAAGTCCTGGTTGCTCCACTTCTGATCCAGCTCTCTGATAACGTGCGTGGGAAAGCAGCAGAAGATGGCCCACGTCCTTGGGCCCCTGCACCTGCGTCGGAGACCGGAAAGAAGCTCCTGGCTCCTGGCTTCAGATTGGCCCAGCTCCAGTCATTGCAGCCATCTGGGGAGTGAACCAGAGGATGGAAGACCTCTCTCTCTGCCTCTGACTCTCCGCAACTGTCTTTCAAATAAATGAATAAATTAAAAAAAAAATAGCCTTCCGTGGTCAGACCGTGGTGTAGAAGGGTAAGCCTCTGCCTGCATTATCAGCATCCCATATGGGTGCTTGTTCAAGTCCTGGCTGCTCTTTTTCCAATCCAGCTTCCTGCTAATATGCTTGAGAAAGCAGAAGATGGCCCAAATACTTGAGCCCCTGCACCCACATGGGAGACCCTGATGAAGCTTCTTGGCTCCTGGTATCAGCCTGGCCCAGCCCTGGCTATTGAACCAGCGGATGGAAGAGCTTGCTACCTCTCTCTCTCTCTCTCTCTCTCTGTCTCCCTCTCTTTCTCTCTGTATATCTGCCTTTCAAAAAAATAAATCATTAAAAAATAGACCTCTGTTTGAAAATAGGCCATGAGAAATAAAATTGACTAGAAGAGTCCTTTAATATATATATACTACCTCTTGAATTTTTCAGACAATTAGGAATTAGGTTCCTCCTCATAGAAATACCAGCCACACCATATATCACGTATTCTTGCAAAGGCAACAAGTGTTTGATGCAGCAGTTAAGACGCCTGCATTTCATGTCAGAATACCCAAGTTCAATTCCCAGCTCTTCTTATGATTCTACCTTCCTGTTAATGTGCACTCTGGGAGGCAGCAAGTGATGGTTCATGCAACTGGGTTCCTGACACCAACATGTGAGAACTAGTTTGAGATTCCTGGCTTCTATCCAACCCAGCCCCCAACCTGGGCCATCTGTTGGCATTTGGTTAGTGAACCAGATGTGACATCTTGATCCCTCTCTCTCTTACTGCCTGCCTTTCAAAGAACAAACCAACAAGCAAGTAAACAAAAAGGGATAGGATTAATCCCTTAGCAAATAAAAGGGACAGAGGCACACCATGGGGCTTTACACAGCAGGAGATGATTTGTCAAGCAACACAGCCTCCTCAATACAAGCAGACTTAAAACACTGGCCATGGCCACCACCATGGC